GCGCCCCTCGCCCGCCGCCCCTCAGCCCAGTACCTGGGCTCCCAGGGGCCCCGCCCTCCTCGGTCGGGTTCCCATTTCATAGACTAGGAGACTGAGGGGCGGAGAGGCTGCCCATTTGCTGCACGCCTGCTGAGGGCGGGGCGCGCTGCCTCTAGATCTCACTCAATCCAGCCCCGCGAACGCCTTCTTGCTTTACCGAGGAAGGAATTGGGACTCAGAGAGAGGAAGCCACTTGTCCGAGGACACGCAGTACCTGGATGGAGACTCAGATCGGCTCGGTCTCCGAGCTCCCCCGGCGCGGAAATTTCCCGCCTCTCCCTTGGCCGCACTTCCGGCCTCCTTCCCCGCCCTCCCCCGCCCCAGGCCCTTTGTCTCCCGCCGCCCACACTCCCGCGAGCGGCGGGGACGCGCGTGGTGGTGGTGGGGAGGGGGGAAGAGGCGCCTTGGATTCCCCAGCTACCAGCCTTTCCAGCTAGGGTGCCCGCTCACCCGCTGGTCTGTGCAAGCCCGGCTTTCCTCCTCTGGGTGCCATTGGGCAAGTCATTTAGCCTCTCTGAGCCTCACTTTCCTGATCTGAAACTTGGGGGCTAACATCATCACTCACAGTGGCCTTGGAAGGATGAAGGAGCCTAAAGCAGGTGCTCACAGTCTGCGAGTTGAATCGGAATTGCCAAGGACATGAGGACTCGGGGCCTACCTTCTCCGCATTTATACGCAGAGAAATAGCCAACTTTCCTGAGGAGAAATTATAATTCTGTGATTGCCGGAGAGATAATAAAACCCTATTGCCTGTGCCATGACACAACTTACTAAAAATGGTTGCAACTAACGTTAATGAAATGCTTATTTAGGGGCAGACACCATGCTAAGATTTTTTAAAACAGGTTTTTATCTAATATCAATTTCCAATCATCGTGGAGAAAGTTAGTGTTAATATCTCATTATCCCCGCTTTTCGGATAAGAAAGCTGAGATACAGATGGGTGTCTTGTGTGGGGTCGCACAGCTAGTTAGTACCTAAGCAGTCTAACTCCTGAAACCTCACGCTTAACATTTGTTTTATTCCTCTCACCTGCTGAACCATAAGTTACCACGATCTTTCTTTAAAAAAATTTTTTTTTAATCTAAATGGCAAATGAAGATCCATCGGGCCAACGTCCTCAGCCAGCATCCCAAATCAAAAGCAAACCAAACCGGTTGCCATCAAGTCGATTCCGAGTCATAGCGACCCTATAGCATCCCAGCGGAGGAGAAAAACGCATAGTGCGCGCCAATTTTCAGAACCACGGACAGCACCACGAACCAGCGCGGCTTCCTAACATTTCTGTTCCTGAAAACTGTTCATTCACTGCTCACAAGAGCACTCTGCGTCAAAGTTTACAAACCCTGCTCCACATTCATCATCTTATTTTATTCCCCCTACAGCCCTTTAAGGTAAACATTACTGGCCCCATGATACAGATGAAGAAATTGAGGCTTGGGAAGTTTACAGGTCGTGAAAAGAGGCAAGAACAAAACTGTGACCTAAAAAGTTCCTCCTAGGGCAAAGAGAGCATGGGCAGGAGGGGGATCCAGAATATCGGGGGCAGGGCATGAGTGAGGAAGCTGTGGCAGTCATCCAGCTGATAGACTATGATGCTTGAACTATGGCAACGTTTGTCGGAATGGAGAGGAAGAGACGGATTCAGTATCTACTCAGGGGTAAAATCAACAGACCTTGGTCATGGAGTGGATGTGGGTGTGGGGGTGAGGGAGGATTCCGCTGCCTCTCTGAGGTTCTGCGTGGGGATCTGGGTGGATGAAGGATAGATACCTGGTGAGCCTTGGGGGAAAATGAGGGGCATGTGGGACAGCCGTGCTGAGACATCTGAGTCCGGAGCTAAGCTCTGGAGTGGCCAAGGCTGGAGACAGACCAGGTGGCCATCAACCAAGAGCTGGTGATGGAGGTCATGGGAGGGGCAATGGTACATGGAGGGAGAGTGTAGGCCAAATAAGTAGAGATGGAAGCCACTGATCCACCCTGAGGAACACCAACATTAACGGACAGGCAGGGGAAAGGAGGTTACAAAGAAGAATGAGAACCGTGAGAAACTGGAGGAAACCCAGGAGAGTGTGAGGTCTCAGAAGCCAAGGGGAGAGAATGTTCCAGAAGGAGGGCAGGGTGAACTGGATCAGAAAGACAAAGTATGGTCTGAGAGGCATCCTCTGGGCTTAGAAAGAAGGTAATTGGAAACTTGATGAGAATAGTCAGTGGAGTGGTGGGGGTGGAAGCCAGACTTGGTGGGGTGGGGGCAGGAAGATTGGTAAGTGAATGGGAGTAAGCAAGCGGAGAGAGCAAGTGAAGACAGCTCTTTCAAGAAGATCAGGCTTTGAAGGAGAAAAGAGATATGACAGTCTCTATAGGAGTCCCGGGATGGTGCAAATGGTTAACACGCTCGACTGCTAACCGAAAGATTGGAGGTTTGAGTCCACCCTGAGGCACCACAGAAGAAAGGCCTGGTGATCTCCTTCCAAAAAATCAGTCACTGAAAACCCTGTGGAGCACAATCCTACTCTGACACACATGGGGTTGCCATGAGTCGAAGTCAGCTCCACAGCAACTGGCTTACAGAGGGATGGAAGGTTAAGATGGTGGAGACCTGAAGACATGTAGATCCAGGTGGGAGAGGGCCAGCAGAGAGGGAAGGGGGAAGATGCCAGAAAGGGCAAGGATGGTGGCTGGGCCCAGATGCCTCCGTGGGGGAAGAGGATGGGATCCAGATCTCCGGGGCAGCTCGCAGACAATAAGATGAAGCGTGAGGGCATGTGGCTTATTTGGGAGTTGCAAGGACACCAGCAAGGAGCCCTGGCAGCACAACAGTTAAGCACTTGGCTGCTAACCTAAAGGTTGACGATTCAAACTCATCCAGTGGCTCTACAGGAGAAAGACCTGGTGATTTGCTCTCATAAAGGTTACAGCCTAGAAAACCCTATGGGGAAGTTCTGCTTTGTCACATCGGATTGCTATGAGTTGAAAATCGACTCAACAGCACCTAACAACAATAAGTACACTAGCAGGGAAGTGGGGAGGTAATCCAGGAAAGGAAGGAAGTCAATAAAACAAACAAATCAAACCCATTGCGTCGAGTTGATTCCGACTCCTAGCGACCCTATAGGACAGAGTAGAACTGCCCCATAGGGTTTCCAAAGAGCAGCTGGTGGATTCAAACTGCTAACCTTTTGGTTAGCACCCAAGTGCTTGACTACTGCACCACCAGGGCTCCATGAAGTCACTAAGTCAGCTACCACAATAGGCACCTGAAGCTCAATCCTGCAGGGAAGTTTTGGGAAATGGGGTACAATGCACACCTCAGAATTCCCCCCGCCAAGGGTAAAGGAGCTGGGATATTTATATCCCAACATCTGGCAGATGTTGGTTAAGGGCTGTCCCGTGGATGTGTTGAATGAGACCATGTGTTAATTCCCAGGCACTTCTGGCCCCCAAAGGAGCCCTGGTGGTGCAGTGGTTAAAGCACTCAGCTGCTAATCAAAAGGTCGGCCTTCAAACCCAGCAGCTGCTCTGCAGGAGAAAGATGTGGCAGTCTGCTTCTGTAAAGATTTACAGCCTTGGAAACCCTGTAGGGCTGCTATGAGTTGGAATCGACTTGACGGCAGTGAGTTTGGTCTGGCCCACAGTGCCTGCAGGCTAAGTGAGCCCAGCAGCCCGAGAGCAGCTCTTACAGACAAAGATGCAAGTGCTGGCTATCGGCAGTATTGGTGCAGGCACAGAAATGTTAAGGGCATCCGAGGGGATGTGATCAGGGTAGTGACAGTGTCTTCATCGTGGGCACAGTCAGGGCCATTTCCCATCTGCATCCTTTGCCATGCTTTCCAACCACTCTTGTTCCATAGGGACTTGTTGATGAAAACATTTTTTTTAATGAAAATTTCCAGAAAACAAAACAAAAAACTTGCTAAAGCAAAGCCATGGAGCGGGGATGGGGAGGGTATTGCATTATGGGTAAGGAGTTTCTATTAAGGATGATGAAAACATTTGGAAACAGTGGTGATGGTTGCACAACATGGAGAATGTAACTAATGTCACTGAATTGTATACGTAAAAATGGTTGAAATGGGAGTGTTTTGTTATAAATATTTCATCAGAATAATTTTTTTTTTTTTTAAAGAGGACAGAGGCGAGTTCAACTCCTAGATTTGCCATTTACTAGCTGTGTGGCCTTGATTGAGGTCTCGCTGAGCCTCAGCTTCATCACTTGTCACTCTTAGCTTTCAGAGCTCTGAAGATGTAAGGAAAAAATATATATCAAGTGCCTGGCACAGTGTGGGCACTCGAGGTGGACACCAGTGTTTTGGCAGCCCTCCCAGCCTTTGGGGTGGGTCATGCCCCAGCTTGGCCAGTCACAGTCCTGGGGATTAGTTCTGGGAGTAGGGCTGGAGCACTGGACGAAAGCCAGGTCTACTGGCTCTCACACTTTCTTGGAACTTTTAGGCTTGTTAAATTGGTGGTGTGTACACCTGGAGTTGCTGGGGCTCATTTTTGTCTCCATATAGAGAAAGTCTGCCTGGGCCGGGTTTGTGGCTCATTCTGGGTTCAGTCTCAGCTTGTTACAACCAACATGGTCACCCGCACCCGTGTGTGAGTGAGTATGCGTGCATTTCTCGGCTCGTCTGCCGCTGGGGAGCCATACACACTCGTACGCACCACAAGATAAACAAGTGCCTGCAGCTCCTTGGCTGGCGCCCAGGCCGGGGGCGGAATAAACAATCCCAGTGACTTTCTGAAAAGCAAGCGTGTGTGGCAACAGGCACCATGGAGACAAGCAGATTGTACCAGAGCAGAGGCAGCAGCCACCCCCCAATGCCACCCCAACCACACACACACACTCACGCACACATATGGACATACACACACACGCACACACACACCCAAACGTGCACTCACACACATGCACACAGCCATGCACAACACTCATATACGCGCACACGCTCATAGTCTCTCTCTTGTTCATACTCAATTCAACAAATATACAACCAACCCTCCTTTCACCCCCTGGCACACTCATCCTTGGGATCCTGCCAGCTACCCCCATCCCAGCTCTGCTTGAAGCTAAAGCCTTTTGAGAAGATCTGAGATTCCCAGTAGAGAATCCACAGTTCCTGGCCCCTTTGCTGGTACACTGGTCCTGGTCTAGGTCGAATTTCAGCAAATCACAAACTCGAAGGAAGGTGTGTGTGCTGGGTGTGTGTGAGAGAGAAGGGAGTGGATTATATGAGAGGCAATGCCATATAAACCCACCTTCTATCAAGTTCTTTGTTTACTTCAGGGATGCACACACAACACATCCACACACTCCTTCAAGAAACACTTATCCACACTCAGCACCCCTGCGGCTTGTAAGACCACTCCCCTGAATATAGACACTCAGATACACAGCCATCCTCACACATGCAATATGTAACCTGATATACCCTAGGTGATGATCATGATTGTGGTGTGCCATCTACTAAGTGTTTTATAGTCATGATCTCAGTCCACTTAATCCTCACAGCAAAACCATCTGAGGTAGATACGATTATTATTCCCATTTTTCAGATGAAGAAACTGAAGCTCAGAGAGGTTAAGCAACTTGCCAGGGCCACCCTGCTTAAAAGTGACGAAGTTGGGAGTTAAACTTCAGCCCACACTATTAACCCATCCTTATACACTCAGATACTTGCAATACACACATGAGCAAACCCTGCCTCCTCAGTCAGCTCAGATAACAGATGCCCATGGGGTCACCTTCCCCATCCTGATCTCCTCACATGCACCAGGCCCCTCAGTGCTGCCCCAGTATTTATGAACGCCCCTGGCTCGGGCACATGAGCATAGCTCACTACCCACACAACCTCCCTCACTCCCTCCCTCCTTGTCTGCACCCCCATCCCCCCGGTTGGGGGCAGCCCAAGGATTTGGATGGATGACTCAAGCTGAATCACAGCCCAGCTGCTCCTTGGCAGCCCCCTCCCCAATCTGCCCAGAGAGTCTGTTCTGAAGGCAAGGGCAGGCCTTGGACTGGGTGACAGGGAGCAGAGCATTCGGGACGAGGCACTTAAGATCCAGCTCCTGGAGAAAAAGGGTCAGACACAAGGGGCTTCCGTGTCCTCCTCCACTCCCCAAAGTTCCACAGGTGCTCCCAGGTGGCCCCACCCGTGCCCTTCACTCTGCCCGGGAAAGAGACCTTCTGCCCTGATACAGGCCAGGGGCTCCCTTTCTAGTCTCAGGGCCCATTTTGGCTCCCCTGCCCCTCCTCTTGGCCCCAATAGTAACAACAGTAATAATGATATTAGCTGTTGTTATTGATTGCTCACATTTACACAGCACTCTACAGTTGACAAAGCACTTTCTCATTGGCATTAAATTTGATTCTCCTACTAGTCCCTTAAGGAGCCCTGGTGGTGCAGTGGTTAAGTGCTTGGCTGTTAACCAAAAGGTCAGCGGTTGGAACCCACCAACTGATGTGCTGGAGAAAGATGCGGCAGCTGCTTCCGTAAAGATTATAGCCTTGGGAACTCTATGGGGCAGTTTTACTCTGTCTCATAGGGTCGCTATGAGTCTGAATCAACTCGATGGCAATTTACTAGTCCTGTGGGATGGAAATTAGTGCCTTCACTTTTGAGCTGAGGAAACTGAGGCTCAGAGAGGTTAAGCAAGCTGTCCAAGGTTACACAGTTGGTGAAATGCAGAGCCAGGAAGCAAGTAGACCTCCAATCCCCAGGAAAGTCAGGCATCATGGAGGTATGGAGGGGTGGTATGGTGGGGGCATGATGGGGGCATAGTTGGAGGCAGGGTGAGGGCAAGGTGGCGGGCATGGTGGGGACATGGCAGGTGGTATGGTGGGTGGCATGGTGGAGGCATGGTGAGAGGCATGGAGGACATGAGGGGGCATGGCAGGAGGCATGGCGGGGGCATAGTGGGGGCATGGTGAGGGCATGGTGGCGGCATGGTGGGGGCATGGTGAAAGCATGGTGGGGCCATGGTGGGTCATGGTGAGGGCATGGTGGGGGCATGGTGAGGGGTATGGTGGGGGAATGGCGGAAGCATGGCGGGGGTATGGTGGGGGTGTGGTGAGGGCATGGTGGGGGTATAGTGGGAGCATGATGAGGGTAGGGTGGGGGTATGGTGACGGCATGGTGGGGTGGCATGGCGGGCGCATGGTGATGGCTTGGTGTGTGGCAGGGTTGTGGCTAAATTTTTCTTTCACCCTGACAGCCACTAATGGAATTATGAAATTATTTATATTTTTAAGTCTTCTTCTTTCCTGTGTTTTGGGCCAATATCCCAAGGTTAACAAATCCAGAGCATGGAGTTTCCACTGAGAAGGCTTCAGCTGTGGATCCTTGGCCTCCTGGAGCCTCAGTTCTCTCATCTGGAAAAATGGGTCCAGACATCCAGCAAAGCTGGCTACTGAGAGGAGCAAGTAGAATCATGGGCACCATGCCCTTTAGAAGCCACAAAGGACTTCATATGGCTACTGTTTTTCACATTTTGTTTTATTTTTCTAGAAACCATCAGTGGTTGCTGTGCAGAGGGCAGGGTGGGCTTCTGGGAGCCTGGGGGTGGTGCTGGGAGGGGGTGTGGGTGACAGTTCTTCCTTTCCCCCTGCTTGGGCTCAGCCTGGCCTTCCCCCACCCTCAGCCCAGAGCCCGTTTCTAGGCAACAGGATGGATGTAGGGATGGTTCAGAGGGGAGAGAGCCATAAATAGGGAAGGGAGAAAACAAAAATAAAGTTCCAGAGAAAGCTGCAGAGCAGAGTTACTGGGGGTTGGAGATGGGCAGGCTGGGCGGGAGGCAGGTAAACGGTGGGGACACGGGGACAGCCCCCTCTGCTCCCCAGCCCTTCATCAGCAGGAGGGCAGCAGGCCAGTGAAGGTTCTTAGAAAGCTGACATGGGCGGGGGAGGGGAGGGGGTCTTTGTGTGCACAAATGAGCAGGATGGGGGTGAAGACGAGAAATAACTTTTGATCATGTACCAGGGAAAGCTCAAAAGAGTGAAGGAATTCAACAGGCAGAGGTGAAGGCAGCTGTCCAAGTGGCGGGAAAAGAGCAGGCAACCGAGGGAAGGTGGTGGGTCGGGCAAGGGGGCCTGGGTCCACGAATTCTGGGAGTCCCGGCCAGGCCTCAGCCTCGATGTGCACATACAGGACCCTGAGCACAGCCTCGTGCACACACAGACACGCAAGAGGTGGGCTGTTCCCCCACCTGCAACATTCCCCTCCTCCTTTCATTCACCTCCTCAGAGATGACCTGACCACCGTTTTACTTCTGTCCACTGACCTCTCCTTGTCGTGTTCAGTCTCATCATTCTGCTTGATGTTCTTGCATGTTTGTTGGGGGTCTTGTGATAGCTAGCATGTGAGCTATGGCAGGGCTGTGCCTGTGGGCTGGCTCCTGCCGCCTACCACTTCTGAGGTCAGGGCAGGTGTACAATGCACACTTATTGAATGACACCATGGACAAACACAACACATGTGGGCAACATCCGTGTACATGCGCGAACACAGATATTGACATAGCACACGGCATGCCCATCTCACATACTCGAGCGTGCACATGAGCTCAAGCCCACACACGCCCACAATCTTGCTCGCCACCTCCATGACGCTAAACGAGGTCTGTAACCTCTGCCCTGCTGCCTCCACATTTCCTGTTGTTGCTGTTTATTTGTACCCCCTCAGAGTGAGAGCAAGTCCCTCTTGGAAAATGCCAAAGGAGTTAGGCTTTGGAGTCAGGCCTGGGCTGAGTGTGGCCTTTGCCACTTCCCAGCAATGTGACCTAGGGCAGGTAACTTTGTCTCTCTGGCCTGTACCCCTTCGTCTGTAAGATGGTGGTGATGGTACGTCCTGAGGACCGTTTTAAGTGAAATGAGTGGCAATAACAAGCATCTGATACCTGGGACATCCTGGGTGCTCAGGAAATGACTCTGTCCCTGTTACCAGGGAGGAGCCCATGAGCTGTGTGCTCTCACGGGCACGTGCACACAGTCAGGACTGCCATCTGAGCCAGCGGTGGCATCTTCTGCAGGTGCTTTCTGGCCCTGTGCCTGGAATAGTGTTTAGTGACCCCGGCAGATGAGAACATTGGTCTCTAAGCAGAACCAGGCTCGAACCAGGGAAGGAGAAATAACCCCCACAGGCCAGATGGTGCACCTGGTGTGGCATCTAGAAATGGGGATCAGTGCTAGTGACTGGAGCAGCGGTCACAGACTCAAATCCTTTAGTCTAGGCAGTTCATGAAAATGAGTGCAGTGGATGGGTGTAATCCAATAGGGAGGGGAGGGGGCTGCGGCCAACTGAGAGGTGTACCCAGCCCGAAAGTATTCAAATTTAAAAAATGTATAAGACATTGTGCTAACTAATTAAACACAACGACAGGCCAAATTGAGCCCGAGGACCACGAGTTTGCCATCCCCATGGACTGCAGGATGTAAGCAGTGTCTTGATTCAGCCAAAAGGGCACTGGCACGTGAGTCAGAGAATCAAAGCCCACCGGTTTGTTCTCCTTCCACACGCGTCTGCCAGTTACCTCCAGCTTCCGGAAATAATTTACACTGCAGGCCAAGGTGACCCCGGCAGGCCTGTCTCCCCCAGCGTTCAGGGCCTCCCCTGGCCTTGCACCATCTCCAGTCCCAGGGAACGGGGTGGGGGGTGGGTGCTAACACTTGGTAGTTGATTGACTAGAGCAAGCTTCTCCTAGCCACGGGACTGGAGACCGAGGCAGGACTTCCTACCGAACGGAGGCCGGACCACTGCAGAGAACGCGCCAGGGCCTTGCGCAGATGAGGTTGCGGACCTCCGCCGCAAAGAAGAGCAAGTCTTCTGCAGGGACGGGGGCGGGGCCTCTATGCAGGACCGGTAGAAGACCTCTGCGGCAGATGAGAGCGGGAGCGCAGCAGGGCGGGGCGGGGCCTGTGCACCGATGAGGGCGGGGCCTGTGCGCAGAGCCCGCGGCTTCTCTGCCCCGGTCTTCCCCACGCGAGGCGGTGTCGTAGGCCCCCTAGTGCCGGTCCTGTTCCGCCCGAGGCTCCTGGTGGCTTCCAGATTTCTGCGGACCCTCGCCCACTTCAACCAAACTTTCGGGAACCTTTCCGGAGGGCAGGGCTTCGGTTGCCGAAGCCCCGCCCCCTTCTGGGGCACCTGCCCATTTCCCCTCCCGGTAGACCCGGTTTTCTGCGTTCGGCGGGTGTTCGCAGAGGTGCGTGCGGTCTGGAGTGAGAAAGGTCTGTCTGCGTATAACAGCGTCTTCCAGTGCCCGCTTTGCTGATTTCAGAGTTTCTCCGCCGCGCGTGGGCAACTGTGAGTGCATGCGTGTGTGCACAAGCGCGCCCGTCAGGGTGCATACACTAGGGTTCGCGCGTATACACCAGCGTACGTGCACGCATGTTCGCACGTGCATGGGCACCGCGCACCTGCGCTACGTGTGCGCCGAGGTGTGAGCTCTCGGTTTCGCATCCCTAGCAGGCGCTTTACGGCCCAGCAGGTGGCACCCCAGGCCACCTTGTGGCTCTCGGCTATCTCCCAGTCCACTGAATGTCCCGACCTTGGGGGATCTCCCTCCCCACCAGGTCATCGCGCGAGTAGAAGATGGAGAAGCTGAGTGTGCCAGGTCTCAAAGATTGGAGTTGGGCAGGGCTGGGACCTGGACGCCCATCAACTGCCCCCACCCGGCGCCCAGCCCAGCTCTGTCCGTTCGGCGCCTGCTACAGACAGATTGGCTTTATTCATGGACACGCGGGGGTCGGCCGGCCCACCCGCCCGGGACACGCTCACACGTGGTGGGGGGAGGGTTGGGGAACTCTCCATGCCACAATCACAACACACGACGCCCGCGCTCGGACCGGGCCGGCTCGGGGGAAGGTTCATGGCACAGCCTGGCTCCTGGTTTTGGTTAAAAAAAGGTACTTGGGGTCGATGTGAGAGTGGGCTGGGGGGCTCTGGGGCTGCCTGGGGGCCCCTCGGAGAGCCTCTTGCGGGGGCAGGGGAGCCGTCGCTTTCCGATCTTCGTTTAAAAACATAGAACATGCTACATCCGCGCGGACACTGGACGGGAGGGGGCAGGAAGGGGGCAACACTGGTGGGGACAAGGCTCCCAGCAGCGGCCGCAGACCCGGCCTGTCCTCGCCCCAGGGGTGGACGCGGGCAGGTAGGACAGACGGACGGACAGACACGAACACAGGCTCCGAGCGGGCGCCTCGGAGCGGAAGGAAGATCTCGTGTTTGGGGGGAAGGGACAGAAGGACAGCCCTGGCTCTGGGGGGTGGGGTAGGGGACAGGGTAGGGATTGTGCTGCTGGTGGGGGGCCGTCCTGGGCCCTTACGCCTCTGGCTCATACTCCTGATACTCCTCCTGCATCAGAGGGGTGGGGTGAAGTGGAAAAGAGCAAAAGGGAGTGCTTGCGAACCAAGTAGTCACGCTGGCCCCGGACCCCTCCCCCTCAAGGAGGAACAGGGCACGCCCCTCCCGCGGGCAGGGACAAACCTAGAGGTTGGTGACAGCTGAGCTGTTCCTGGGCAGGGATGCCTGGGGTGCAGCGCTAGGCCCCATCTGTCCTCCCCTCTCTGCCAACCCTCCCCGCCCCCGGGTTCTAGAAAAGGGAGGCCTGAAGCCCCCTGGCCCAGGCGATCCTGCCAGAGGACCCCTCCCCGCAGCTGGGGATAGCAGCAATCTCCCTGGATGCCAGGAGTCCTACCCAGCCCTGCTGCCCCCTCACCTGGGGTAATTCCTTGTAACTTTCCCCTTCTGGCTCCATCAGGGGCTCGATCAGTGGCTCCTCAGCAGCTTCCTGGGCCACTTCCTCTGGCTACAGGCAGAGAACGGACAGGGCTGGTGAGATGGCCCCCAGATTTCTACTAGGGAAGCTTTTGGCTGATTAGTAGAGTGGGGAGGGCTAAGCTATGTTGGCAGTGCAATTAAATTGTTTATTTGGAGTGCCTTGAAGTGGGATAGAAATGTGAGGGGTTAAATCCTCCCTAATCACTGCTTGAAGCTGGGGGTGAGGAGGAGGAGCTGGGCTCTCTTTACCCCTCCCCCAGCACCAGGCAGCCTGCTGCACCCATCATTTGGACTGGGTGGGATGGGGGGACAGACACCACACTCAGTCACCAATTTACCCCTACCCCCTTTATTTCAGGCTCTGTCCTGGGCATTGGGATAACCCTGGAGGTTCTCCTGGGCCAGAAGGAGATGGAGGTTCAGGAATGGGGCTGGGCAGGGGCTCTGAGCCATTCTCCTGCCACCTTCCACTCATCCCTCCCCCAGGGCTCTGCATGGCCTGATTTCTTCAGCTGTTGCTATTTTAAGATAAGCTGGAAGCAACAGCTCATGGTGTTGCTTGGATGTGTGAGCTAAGATTCTCCCCTCCCCCCTGCATCTGCTGCCCAAATAGACGCAGACCTGCGGGCACGTGGGGGGCTGCCAGACACATGGCCAGCCACCTGCAGGTGAGCACATGTATGTGCACATACATGGGACTGAGCTGGCTGCACACACAATAACCTGGGGGCACGTGACACTGTGTCCCTGGATGGTACAAATGGTTAATGCACTTGGCTGCTAACCAAAAGGTTAGCAGTTTGAGACCACTCAGAGGCACCTTGGAAGAAAGGCCTGGAGACCTACTTCCAAAAAATCAGCCCCTGAACACCCTATGGAGCAGTTCTACTCTGACACATGGGGTCGCCATGAGTCAGAATCAACTCATTGGCAACTGGTATGGTATGGTATACATGCATGCTTTACAGCTTCCAAGGCCACATGTGGGCTGGCACAAGCCTGGACCCCTTCCACATGTGGCCACTATCCGTCCCTAGTGGGTGGAGGTAAGAATGTTGGGAACCTGGAGAGTTGGCACTGAGAAGGCCCACCCTGAACACATCTGTGCTCTCCTTACCCCAGTCCCATCCAGACAGCTTCAGCTACTGTATGTGACCTGTCTGGGTGGGCCGTATGGGCATATGAGTTTACAGCTCCTGACCTGGCTCATTTCTCCCATTTTACAGATGGGTGTATCAAGGTCTAGGAGGTAGGCAAATATGCATTGCCTAAAGTCACTTAGCAATTTAGTTCCAGAGCCATGACCAGAATCCAGGCAAGAAGCATTGAGCACATCGTTTGGAAAGAACCCAAGTGTCAACCACAGTAGAAGGGATGTGTGCATCATGGTTTGTCACACAATGGAATTTAATAAAACAAGCACAAAGAACAAGAGTTGCACACAACAGCATGGTTGCAGTTCACAGATTTGCTGTTGAGTGAAAGAAGCCAGATGCAGAAAAGTATGTATTTCATGATAACATTTATATGAAGTTTAAAAAGAAAAAACACCCAGCCAGTGTCATCACTAGGGTTGGTGACACCTCCCCCATGGACCTCCTCCCATACCAGACCATACAGAATTCTTCATATTATGTTTTTTGTACTGTTACTGGTAAATCATAATTCCCATATATCACTCCTTCTATGCCATTAATTACTACTTCATTTTCAAAAAGTTATTGATATAAGTTCACAAATACTAATTACCACAATATTGTAGCTAAAACACAAGAAAATTTGACGAAAGGAGCAACTATAAAAATACCGGCTGCAACAAAAAAAAACAGACATGCTTGTAGCTTGTCCTGACAAAACCACGTGATTTGAAGCATCATTGTAATTGGGTAATAATGACAGGTCTGACTGGAGCGCAGTAGAAGATTCAAAAAGCAAATTAGCATAGAGTTTTAGCTTTATAGGTATATTGATACCTGTAAACTGGGCTTACGAAAAATGTTTTTGTGTTAGAACTAACTACGGGATATTTTTATGGACAGTCATTTTGGTTCACCCCCTCTGACAATATCACCAGTATGGTCTGCACCCCTGCATTCCCTAGTGATGCCACTGCACCCAGCTAATTTGTGGTGACAGAAGTCTGGATAGCAGTTACGCTTGTAGGGGGGTGGGCAGGGCCAGGACTAGGGTGAGGTGAGTGTAGTGCCTGGTGGGCAGATTTTAAGGAGGCACTCAGTCTCAGGGGCATGCAAGTGAGCCGAGCGCCCCTTGACATTCTGCATCCTAGGCACCAGCATCGGCTCACCCTAGTCCTGGCCCTGGGGGCAGGGGTTGGAAGGGGGCACCAGGGGGCTTCTGAGGTGCTGGTTACACAAGGGAGTTCCCTTTGTGAAAATTTCAGAGCTGCATGTTTTCTGCATGTATGTTATTTTCCATAAAAAGTTAATTTACAAAATTCCCAGCTTGGTGATGAAAAAATTTTGGAAATAGATAATGGTGATGTTTTACGACCAGGAACTCAATAGATGGTCCCGGATAGAACGGGAGAAAAATGTAGAACAGAACTCAAATTCCTAAGAAAAGCCCAGACTTACTGGACTGGTAGGGACTAGATGAACCCCTGAGACTATTGCCCTGAGATACTCTTCAAACTTGGAACTCAAGCCACTCCCAGAGGTCAACTGTCAGCCAAATGACAGACTGGCCCATAAAATAAATAACATCATCCGTGAGTACTGTGCTCCTCAAAATAATCGTCTAGATGAAACCAATGGTTAACTAACTTTTACCCTACACCCAAGATGAGAAAGTGGGGTGGTGGCAGGGGGCAGGGAAACTAGATTAATGGAAATAGAACAACCAAAATGGAAATAACAAGAATGCTGATATATTGTGAAGAATGTAACCAATGTCACTAGCAATATGTATAGAAATTGTTAAATGAGAACCTAATTTCCTGTGTAGACTTTCACCAAAACACAATAAAATATTATTTAAAAAAAAAAAAGATACGTGGTGATGGTTGTACAACATTGTGAATGTAATTAGTGCCACTGAATTGTACACTTAAAAATGGTTAAAATGGCAAATATTATGTTATATATACTTTATCACACACACACACACACCCCAGCTTGGCCACCTGTTTAACATCAGGCAAGTTACTTCACCTCAGATCTCAGCTGCCTCCCATGGAAAACGGGGTAAGGGATAACTCTTGGCTTTGGGAGAGTGTGGTGAGGACTTAATGATAGTGTCTGCAACCAGGTGGTAGGTAGAGACGCTCGGAAATGCTGACACCGGCAGCATGGCTACCCCTCACCCTGCGGCCTCAGAGGGCTGTTGTTTGGCTACAGCTCTATGTATCTCCATCTCCCTTGAGAGAGGAGCCTTGAAGTGTCAACAAGTGCTGGTAGGAGGTAAACAGCAAGGGAAATGATTCTGAACAAAGACTCATCACAAACAGCCTCACAATGACAGGTCAGGAACTGTGCCTGCTTCTCTCTGCACCCCAGCTTCCAGCAGGGCCTGGCCTCTCTCTGCACCCCAGCCCCCTGCAGGGCCTGGCCTCTCTGCATTCTAGCCCCCAGCAGGGCCTGGCCTCTCTCTGCACCCCAGCCCCCTGCAGGGCCTGGCCTCTCTGCATTCTAGCCCCCAGCAGCGCCTGGCCTCTCTCTGCACCCCAGCTTCCAGGAGGGCTTGGCCCCATGTCGGCATCAAGCAACTCCAATTAAATGGACCTGAGCTTATCCTCCCAATTACTTTATGAGGGAGGCAGGCAGCAATTGCAATCCTGGGCAAGTCACTTCACCTCTATGAGCCTCATTTCCTTCATCTGTAAAACAGGAAAGTGATGGCACTGTTCTAATAGGGACACTGCAAAGACGCACTAAGTGTAAAACATCTAGACCAGTGCTTGCCCATTCAAGAGATCAATAGACAGTAGTGACTGCCGGTAACATAATGATGATAAGAAGTAGGAAGTCACACAGATAGTAAAATGCAGAGGCAGAACTTGAACCAGAACTTCTGAGTCACATCCCAGATGCTTCTGATGGTGGAAGGAACTAGCTGTGCAAAATGTCTGGAGTGGAGGGCTGGGGTGGGGTCCCGACAGCCCAATGGGTATGCCCATGCAGAATGCACACTGGTCACCCGGCCCGAGCACAGAGCAAGGAGCCCCCACCCTGAGGCAGAGGTCTGCACATGTACTTGGACAGACACGGAGCAGCCCCCGGGAATGTTGGCACTCACACATGTGGGCCCCCAGGGCACGGTATTGTAGTGGTACACTTCCCATCCCCCCTCCACACACCTGGGGTCACATGATCTCCTGGGGGCAGACACAGGCTGTTCACATGATTGGGTGGCCACCATCTCTTACTGAGCACCCACTGTCCACAGGCCAGGGTCTTTACATTAGTGGTTCTCTGTGTGTGGGCCCTGGACCAGCAGCATCAGCATCACCTGGATACTTGTTAGAAATGCAAATTCTTAGGCTCTACCTCAGACCTGCTGAGTCAGACATTCTGGGGATGGGGCCCAACCATCTGTATTTTAACCTGCCCTCCTGACGGTTCTGATGCACACCAAGTTTTAGCACCTCTGAGCTATATTATCTCCAATCTGCATAAGAACTCTATTGTGTTCATCTTCTATCTTTACAGGCAAAGAATCAGGCTCAGAGACATGGTGGGACCTGTTAGGAAGTAGTTGGGCTGAGATTCCAACCCAGCTCTGTGGGGCTCCGGAGCCCACGACTCTTGTCCTCCAAGATGTGGCTAATAGAGACTTGTGTCTCTACCCACACATGGGCAGCCACTGCACTTCCCTGGGGGAACATATCTGTACAAAAGTGTGACAGACCACCACCTCCTTTCACGGCTCACATGACAAGCTCATGCCTGCCTCAGGGCCTTTGCACTTGCTGTTCCCACTGCCTGAGGTACTCTTCCCACAAATCTCCCCAAGACTGCCTTTCTCTCATCCCTTCGGTGTCAGCTCACGTATCTACTCCTCAGAGAAGCCATCCCAGCTGAAGCAGTGCCCTTACCCCTTGACTCTATCCCATCTCCCTACTGTCTGTTGATTGCACTTAACCCTGTCTGAAATTATCTTCTTTATTTATTGGTTGGTTTCTTACTGCCTGTCTTCTCCCACTACAATACATGAATGCAGGAACCTTATTCCTTGTGGTAACCTCTAGAATAATTCCTGCCTGGCATGAATATTTATTGAATGAAAAGAAATGAATGAACCACCAGTGGCATATGCAGATGTGGCTGGAAGTGATCCAGGCCACACTCCCAAGCAGGACACTCCTATACAGCCGGATCTAGGTCACTGCTGCAGGGAGAGCCATGTCCATACACACCTTCACACAGACGTGTTCTGAGCAGAGTCTAGCTGGGCCCTGCAGAATGTGGCGCAAGGTGTCTTGAGCCCCCGACTGGCTGGGGGAAAGGGAGGAATGATGGCAGGTTTATTTGTGTCTGGCACTGTGTGTGCGTTCGTGTGTGTGTGGGGGGGTGGTGAGGGGGTTTGCTTACCTTCAGATCAGTGGGGAATTCCTCCTTCTTCACCAGGCCCGTGGCTGCTGCAATGTTCCCAGCCCCAGAGAACACGGCCCCGCCCAGATGTGACGCCTGCTCCTTGGTTTTCTCAGCCACTGGATCAGGAATGGGTTGGGGAGAGGGTTGGGGGCCAGGGTGAAGGGCAGGCACAGGTGCCCTTCCCACCATTGTGCCCCAGGCCTGCCCTCCCCAGGAAGCACCCCCCACTGAGGCCTTGGGTGGCCAGCAGATCCCAGGCCCCAGGTGAGGGAAGGGAACTGGGCCAGACAGGGCTGGTACCTGAGGCAACACCTTGTACCACCCCCTCTCGGGTCTTGCTTCCTGCAGAGAGAAAAGGGAACACATTTAAGGGCTCAGAGCCAGGGGACGGAAATTCTAGGCCCACACAGTGGTTAGAGTGGTCAGAGGACCCAGTCAGCAGCAGGCGTCCCGACCCACAGCCTCTTTGGGCATCCTGAAACAAGGTCTCCACATCCCACAAACCCTTCTCCATGCCAGCCTTTCCCCCACTTCTCACCACTGCACCCCAGCTTCCTAGGGACTTCCACTCCTCCCACTGTCTGCCCGCCATCCCCACCCGATCATAATACCCACGCCCTGTAGTGGGTGGCGGCTGAGTGCCAGACCCACGTGAGTAGATCACTGGCACTGCTTCATGTAGTCCTCTCCCAGCCCCAGAAGGTGGGTGCTGCTACTGTCCATTTTCACAGATGGAAACTGCTCAGCAAGGGAAAGAGCTAGCTGGGGGTCCTGCAAATAGTAAATGGCTGAGCTGGCGTTCAAGTTCAGGTCTTCAGACTACCAAACTCTGTGAGTATGAAGGCCCAGTGGGGGTAGGGGTAGGGTGGGGCCAGGGGACAAAAGAGCTGTGTATTTTTGAAAGGTTCCCTCGGTGCCCTGGTACATGGCTCAGCTGCCCACATCCCACCCATGGACCCCCACAACCCACCCCCACCCACCCATTTCCCCTTAACAGGGTACAAACCCCTCCTTCTGGCCAAAGTGGGGAGTGTCTTAGTGCAGGCTGGGCCTAAGAGGGATGTACAGATTGTGACTGGCACCCACGCATGGGCTGGGCCTTCCTGGGAGGATTGATTGTCACATGCACAATGCGGGGCTATTGGGAAGGGTGAGGGGCCTGACCTGGGGGGACACGAGGGGCTTCAGCAAATCAGGGAGTCTCCCACCCTGAGGGTTTGGCAAACCAGACAGCAGCTGAGAGACCCAGAAACAGGTGTCTGGGAGAGCTGAGTCTGGTGGGAGGAGGAGGAGAGGCCGGCAGTCTCAAGGCTAGCACCAGAAGACTGGTGGGGCCGGGCTGTTTTCCACTCCATCCTGCCTCCCACAAAATTTGTTTGTGCCTGCTTGGTGCCAGGCCTTGGGCCAATTGCTCCCTGTCTGATGCGGGTAAGAGGAGAGCCGATTCCGGGCCCTGGACCTCAAGCAGTGGGGAGATGACTTCCAGTCTTAGGGAGCTGGGAGCTGGGGCGCATGATAGGGAGGACACACTGCTGGGCCTTGACAAATGGGGAGCAGTGGAGATACAGAAAGGAGACTGGAGAGGGCATCAGACAGAGGGAAGCACAGAGCAAGCACAGAGGGGTGTGATCAGGGCCTGCAGGAAGCGCATCCAGGCAGGTTTGTGCACCAGGAGCAACGGGCACAGTGAGAAACAAAGTTGGACAAGTAGACCTAGGCGGGACCATGAAGAGCATTGAATGCCAGGCTACTGGGAGCTGAGGCTTTAAAGTGTAGGAACTGGAGGGCCACCGTGGGTTTCTGTGCAGGGGGAGGAGGGGGAAAGGGCAGCATGGCTTGGAGTGGTGGAGTCTGTTAGCAGGGAGACAATGTCAGTGGGGCCAGGGCTCAACAGGAGGGAAGGGGCTGAGGGAGGAGGCAGGCCAGAGCTGGGGGCTGGCAGACATGGGCTCAAGCCTTCTTTCTGTCCCCATCACTATTACCCTTGCCTAGCCACCCTTGTCTGGTGGCTGCACTACCTCTCAGTGGGCCTCGCTGCGATTTGTTCTGCACCCAACAGCCTGAGAGATCTTTTAAAACTGAAATCAGACCATGTCAGTCCCCTGCTTACAGCCTCTTGTGGCAATCATAATAATGCTTTGTCCTGTCCTAAAGGGCCCCCTTGTGAGCTGGGCCTTGCCTGCCTCTCTGATCTCATCTCCTACCACTGCTTGTTTTCTGCCCTCTGCAGAGCCTGGTCTCCTTTAACCCACTGTACCTCAGGGCCTTTGCACCTGCCATTCCCACCCCACACCCTCTCCCTGGCTCCTCATTATTCAGGGCTCAGCTCAAATCTCCCCTCCTCAGGTAGGCCCCCTTTGGTTTTCCTACCCAAAGTAGTTCCCCATCCCAGCCACTTGATGTCAAATCCCACTGCTGAAATCCTCTCTATTACCCGCTGATATTTTCCGGTTAAGCTCCAGGAGAGCAGGCACCTTTGTCTCTCCTGCTCACTGCTACACCCCCAGCATCCACACAATGCCTTGCGCATAGTAGGTGTCAAATGAATATTTGTAAAGTGACCATAATACCAAATCTGCCATGGCCCTGAGCAAGTTACTCACCTTTCTGAGGCTACACAAGGGGTAATTACACCTGCTCCACATCAGTAAGTCCTGAGTGTGGGCTCAGGAAATGTCAGTTTCTGGTCCTTCCTTTCTTTATGCAAATGACCTTGCAGGCTCAGTCTCCTCACATTTAGGGCGAGAGATTTTAACCACCCAGCCTTTCTCTTGACACCAGCTGGCAGCTGCAGGGACGGGTGGACTGGGAGGAGAGATAGCAGTGGTGGAACCACAGGCACTGGGAGGCAGGGAGACCTAGAGAGCAGCTCAGACATGGAGGGAGCTGAAAAGGCGGCTGGGAGGGAGGGCAGGGATAGATAGCGAGGGACGGCCTGCCAGGGGAGGGGTGGGGCTTTGGAGTCCCTAAAGCTAGGTTCAAACCCCAGCCTTAGGCTTTACCGGCTGTGTGACCTTGAACAACATAGATAAACTTGTGGGAACCCCAGTTTTCCTAACCTGTAGAATGGGCTAGGAGCATTGAATGAAGTAATTGACGTTATGGCATTTTACATTGTACTTGGTATATAGTGAGGGCTTGACACCTAACTATTAATGATAATGATAATAAACATTTTAAAAAAGAAGGCTATCTGCTTTTATCACTGTATTGGTCCCCTGGCCTTTCAGCTGAACCGCATTCTCATCACTCCCGTTCACCGACCCAGACTTCCATCTGCTGGCTAGGTCCCCAGTGACCCCTGCTGACCTCGCCCCATCTGCTGACTCATATCCTCCAGCCCAGACCCCCTACTTCCTCTAAAGACACCGGCCCCCTCCCTCCGAGGATATCCCAACCCTGTAGCCCCGCCCCTCGCCCACCGACGTAGAGGACGCCCTCCTTGGTCTTCTCTGCGGCCTCGGTGACCCCCTGCTTGGTTTTCTCGGCAGCGGCCACGACGCCCTCCTTGGCCATGGACAGGCCCTTCATGAACATGTCCATCCTGGCGGCCTAGGGAGGGCGAACACACGGGCACCGGTGTGCTGGTTCTGCACCCTCACCCAGCCATCCCCGAGGGGCCCGGTGCCCCCTCCCCTCCCTCAGGAGACCGCAGCGCCTTCCGGGGAGCGGAGCCCCTGTATCCCCTTTTCCCCTTTCACTCCCACCCAGGAGCGGCCTCAGGGCCGCAGCGAGTCCTAGCGTCCTTGAAACCCGGGGACGCGGGAGGGGTAGCCACTTCTGTTATTCAGGGCCCTGCAACCTGCAGCCCCGCGGAACCGGAGTGCTGGGTTTGGCGCGAAGACCTTGGGCCTGCCTGTCACACACGCCAGTCACACGGCCATGCGCACACAGGCATACACCCACGGACACGCTCACGTGCACATACAGGACACACGTTCAAACACGCACGGACACTTCGGCACAAACGGACACACGGGCAAGGACGCACGTCCACACAGCCACCCAAACAGCTGCAGACACAGAGGAGCAGACACACAGCCCGGGGCTCACACTGATGCACACCCACCGGCGCCTCCTCGCCACCCTCTTCCCCATCTCCATCCCCAGACCTTTCTCCTTCCCCTTCCTCTTTTCCACCCCGGCCCCTCTCTGTCCTCGTCCCCGTCCCCGGCGCCCGGCGCCTCACCTGGATGCGTGGCCCGGGGTAGGGATGGAGCGGCGGCTGCGGCAGGCGGACGCGGGGAATCGGCTAGGCCGGCCTAGGTGGGCTCGGGGCTGAAGGGAGATTGCGCCGCGGCCGGACGCTCGGATCTGTTGGCAGCAGGCGGAGCGCAGACCCTGAGCCGCGGCGCGGCAGTGCCCCGGCCTTGGGTGCGTAGCCAGCCACCGCTCGCTCCTCGCACCCAGCTAGCTCGCTCACTCACTCCAGCTCCAGCTTCGGCTGGGGCGCTGCAGCAGCTCTGAGCTCAGCGCCCACTCTGGCGGCAGCACCGCCCCCTCGGTCTGACTGACAGGCGGCGGGGAGGGCCACATCTCCGCGGAGCCTACGAGCCTCTCCCCGCCAGCCCGAGACGCGCCACTGGGGACCCCGGGGCGTCAGACTTGCGCCCTGCCCCCCAAAAGCCTAATTTGGTGGGAGAGAAGTGCCAAGAGTGGGGAAGAAATAATGCTGTTGGCTTTGGAGTTTTTAGTTCGAATCCCGGCTGTGCTTCTTTACTGACGGTGGGACTTCATGCCAGTTTCCTCTTATGTAAGATACGGACGAATCATTCCACAAACGTTTATTGGGGGCATACACAGGTGCCACGCAAGTTCAAGGCTGGAGACAGTGGAAAAGACGAACAAGGCCCTTGCTCTCATGGAGCTGGAGGTAGGAGCAGGACAGAAAAATGAACATATAACACATCAAACAAGGTTATTCCAGCTGTGAGAAGTGTCACGAAGATAAAACGGTAATGCAACAGAGGAACGAGAGGAGGGTGCTGAGATAGAGGGGTCAGGGAAGCCTCTCTGAGGAGGTAAATTTGAGCAAAGACCCAGGAGAGAGGCCATCAAGCCAAGATGGATGAGGGCAAGATCCATAGAGAGGGAACTGCAAGAGCAAAGGCCCTGAGGCAGCGCTGTGCTTAGTAACAGGCAAAAAGCCTGTGCAGCCGGAGAACCAGAAAGGAAGAGCACAAGACCACCTTTTGTGTGTGATTAATGTGGGGATTGTCAAATAGACAAAGAATGCCAGGTGCACAGTAGGCCCACAGTCAGTGCTATGAAAGAATTAGGCCCAAGATACTGTGGGATCCCAGAGGAAGGGGACTCTAACTGTTCAGGGGAGTCAGGGAAGGCTGTATGAGGGAGGTGACATCTAAGCTGGGCCTCAAAGGACTGGTAAGATTCATGGGCAAAGGCTTTGTGGCCAGAAACACAGAGTATGAGAGTGACAGGAGATGAGGTGAGGAGCTATCTAGTGGCCAGGAAAAAAAGTTCACAGGCTGTTGATAGGATTGCAAATTGGTGCAGGCTTTTTGGAAGGCAATTTGGCAATTTTTTATTTTTTTATTGTACTTCAGGTGAAGGCTTACAGAACAAATAGTTTCTCATGAAACAGAAGTACACATGTTGTTTTATGACATTGGTTAACAACCCCACAGCATATCAACCCTCTAACTTCTCAACCTCTTTTTTTTTTTTGGTGAAAATAAACATAGCCAAAGATACACCATTTCAAAAATTTCTACATGCACAGTTCAGTGACATTGACTACACTCTTCCAATTGTGCTGTTATTCTCACTTAAGATGAAGGCTTACAGAACAAAATAGTTTCTCATTTAACAGTTACTACAAATGTTGCCCTATGACAATGGTTAACAATCTCACAACACATCAACAACATCCTTACTCAACCTTGGGTTCCCTATCATCAGCTTCCTTGTCCCCTTCTGCTTTCTGGCCCTTGTCACTGGACTCCTGTACCTCGTTAGTCTCATTTGGTTTTACGCAGCACAGTTTGGCAATTTTTATCAAAAACATAAATGCATACTTCTTTTGAGCCAGCAGTTTCCTTTCTAGGAATTTATCCTGTGGCTCTCAACTCACACAAGCACACAAAGACATTTGCACAAGGATGGATGCTCACTGTAGAGTGGTTTATTTGAGCAAAAAACTGAAAATAATCTAAATATCCATCTATAGAGAACTGGCTAGTTAATTGTGGTAGATGCACCAGGTGGAAAGGATGAGCTAGACCTGTGTACTGACATTGGGGTGTGTCAAGATACATTATTAGGTGAGAGAAGCAAGGTGCTAAACCATATGCATGGAATAGAGCCCATTTTGACTCATAGAAAAAGATACATACTGTCTTAGGCTAGGTTCTCTAGAGGAGCAAAACCAGTGAAGTGTGTGTGTGTGTGTGTGTGTGTATGCAGAGAGGAAGAGAGAGATTTATCTCAAGGAAATGGCTCATGCAGTTGTAGAGGCTGCCAAGTCCCAAGTCTGTGGGTCAGGCATCAGGTTGGAGGCTTCTCCTGACTCACATAGCTACAGGGACTGATGAACCCAAGATTGGCAGGTAATATAGCAGGCTACTGGCTCACAGGCTACAGAGGCCAATGAATCCCAAGATCAGCAGGCAACACAGCATGCCGCTGGCTCAAGTTCCAAGAACCAGAGGTCAGATGATGAGCCGCATGTAGGTTTCAGAGCAAGCAAAAGCCAGTGAACTCTGCCAAAACGTCCATATATATGGGATGCAGGCCACATCCCTGAGGAAACTTCCCTTACAACCGATTGGCTGATCATATCAGATCACATCATGGAGATGATTACATTATATCACAAAATGGAGGATAACTATATCATTACCTAACTGCCAAATTACATCATTATATAACTGCCAAACTACATCATTACATAACTGCCAAACCACTGAGAATCATGGCCCTGCCAAGTTGACAGACAACTGTAACCATCACAGTCTACCCCTTGTCAACTTGGCAACTGTACACATCTCCTTAAACCATACACAATCTGTAAATAAAGACAATTACAAAGGCAGACTTGCACCTCACATGATTCAACTAACATGCGTACAACTGAAACGCACTAGCCCCATTGACATCTTGTATTTTATAAGTGAAAAAAAATTTGATGCACACGTACAAAGAGAGAATACTTATAACAATTACAGTCTTTGTTTCTGCAACTGGTTGTAACTGGTATTTAGAACTACCTCCTTCCACCATTCATTCTGTATTCCCTTTGTAAGCACCTCAGCTGGTCATGGTCCTTTGCCTGGTGGGGTTACCCAAACCTTCATTCCTGAAGGGTCTGGGCCATTAGTAGTCGTATTGGAATTGGAATGCTGTGATTTTCCATTGACTGTAATCACAGGACATGGTAGCACTAAGAGATGTCCTAAGGAATCTCCTGCATTCCAGGCATATTCTTCTTTACCTCCATTATGTACTATCAATCTGATTTCCCCTTGGTAATCAGGATCAGTCACACCAGCCAACATAGTAACTCACTTCTTTGCCTGTTGATCCAGAGGCATGAGGAGCCCAAAGTGGCCTGGCGGCATTCTTTCTTTCTTTCTTTTTTTTTTAAAGTCTTATGTTGGTGCTTTAATGTGCACTTGAATCCCCTGAGAACCTTGTTAAAATGAAATTTCTGATTTCATAGGCCTGAGGTTGTTCCTGAGATTCTGCATTTCTTTTTTATTATTGTGCTTTAAGTGAAAATTTATAATTTAAGTTAGTCTCTCATACAAAAATTCATACATGCATTGTTATGTGGCCCTAGTTGCTCTCCCTATACTGTGACAGCCCACTCCTCCTTTCCACCCCGGATTTCCCGTGTCCATTCAACCAGCTCCTAACCTCTCTGCCTTCTCATCTCGCCTCTGGACAGGAGCTGCCCATTTAGTCTCATGTATCTACTTGAGCTAAGAAGCACGCTCTTCACGAGTATCATTTTATGTCCCGTAGTCCAGTCTAATCTTTCTCTGAAGAGTTGGCCTCGGGAATGGTTTTAGTTTTGGGCTAACAGAGAGTTCGGGGGCCATGTCTTCCGGGGTCCCTCCAGTCTCAATCAAATCATTAAGTCTGGTCTTTTTACTAGAATTTGAGTTCTGCACTCCACTTTTCTCCTGCTTTGTCAGGGACTCTTTTGTGTTCCCTGTCACGGTGGTCATTGGTGATAACTGGGCACCATCTAGTTCTTCTGGTTTCAGTCTGATGAAGTCTCTGGTTTATGTGGCCCCTTCTGTCTCTGGGTCTAATACTTTCCTTATGTCCATGGTGTTCTTCATTCTCCTTTACTCCAGGTGGTTGGGACCAATTGGTGCAATTTAGACAGCCACTTGCTAGCTTTGAAAACCCCAAAGGCCACTCATCAAAGTGGGATGCAGGACATTTTCTTAATAAACTTTGTTATGCCAATTGACCTAGATATCCCCTGAAATCATGGTCGCCAGACCCCTACCCCTACTACTCTGTTCTTCAAAGTATTTGGTTGTATTCAGGAAAATTCTTAGCTTTGGTTTAGTCCAGATGTGCTGACTTCCCCTGTAGTGTGTGCTGTCCTTCCCTTCACCTAAGATAATTCTTGTCTACTTTCTAGTTAATTAATACCCCTCTCCCTCCATCCCGACCCTCATAACCATCAAAGAATGTTGTCTTCTGTGTTTAAACCTCTTCTTGGGTTCTTATAATAGTGGTCTTATATAATATTTGTCCTTTTGTGACTGTCTAAGTTCACTCAGCATAATACCTTCCAGATTCCTCCATGTTATGTTTCACGGATTCATCATTGTTCTTTATCGTTGTGTAGTATTCCATTGTAAGAATATACCATAATTTGTCCATTTGTCCATTGATGGGCACCTAGGTTGTTTCCATCTTTTTGCTATCGTGAACAGTGCTGCAGTGAACATGGGTGTGCATATATCTATTCGTGTGACAGCTCTTATTTCTCTAGGATATAGTCCAAGGAGTGGGATTGCTGGATCGTATGGTACTTCTATTTCTAGCTTTTAAAAGAAGTGTCAAATCGATTTCCAAAGTGGTTGTACCATTTTACATTCCCACCAACAGTGTATAAGTGTTCCAGTCTCTCCACAACTGCTCCAATATTTATTATTTTGTGTTTTTTGGATTAATGTTAGCCTTGTTGGGGTGAGATGGTATCTCATTGTCGTTTTTTTTTCCTCGAATTTTTTTTTTATTG